GCCAAATCCTGAAATCAATGAGTTTTTAACATTCTCAAAGTTAAATATTGGAAGTAAAATCTCTATCATAGGTCAATATATGCTAAAATAAATAGATGTGAGTTGAAAAGAATTGTTACACAAGTTCAAATATTCACAACGGGAGAAGGGGGATGCCTGTATAGGATGGTATAAACCTATTGTTGAACTGGTGTGGCTCTGGAGTCTGAGACAAGAAGATCAAGAGCTCAAAGCCAGCCTCAGCAATCCCAAGGCCCTAAGCAACTCATTGAGACACTGTCTCTAAATAAAATACAAAATAGGTGGGGATGTGGCTTAGTAGTCCAGTATCCCAGAGTTCAATCCCCAGTACCCCACCCCCCAAAAAAAACTATTGTTGAGCCAGCGAGGTAGCAACTACTTATTAGCATGGGGGAGACTCTGGGTTCAATCCCAAACACCAAAAAGCAAAACAATGAAATCAAGTTTATTATTGAGCTATGAATTTCAAACCCAATATACAAAATTAAAATTTAAAAAGCAGATATGGTGGTTTGCACCAACAATCCCAGGTACTTTCCTGAAGTAGAAGGATCTCCAATTCAAGGACAGCCTGGGCAATTTAGGGAGACTCCATCTCAAAATAAATTTTAAAAAAAATCTCCTGGTGACATAGCTCAGTGGTAGAGTACTTGCCTAATAGGTATGAAGTATCAGGCCCTGTGTTCAATTCCCAGCACCACAAAGATAAAAATAAAATTTAAAAGTAAATAGAACAAAATAAAATTAAATAAATAAAAAATTTGAAAAGAGCTGCATGATACTAGGGAAGAAGAAGCAAGAGACAGTATGAATACAATAAAACAGTTTACATATTTTAATAATGTTAATAGAAAATATCAATTGTATGTGTGTATAAAATCACACATACACACACACACATATATATACATACATATATATATATATATATATATATATATATATATACAGAAATTGAGGAAAAAATCTAGAATTTAAAGATTTAAATTGCTCACTGCAGTTTTTCCATAAAATTATTTATAGAATAAGATTTCATAGAAGAATGAGAAATTATACATTATAAACTGCATAGTACTCAAGAAAGTAATTAAAAACTGATGCCCCAGCCAGGTGCAGTAGCACATACCCACAGTTTCTCAAGAGGTGGAGGTAGGAGGATCATAAGTTCAAGGCCAGCCTCAGCAACTTAGTGAGGCCCTTACAAACACAGCAAGACCCTGTCTCAAAAGAAAAATAAAAAGGACTTGGGGGGGTGGGGGCTGGAGCTATAGCTCAGTGGCAGAGCACTTGCCTAGCACATGTAAGGCCCTGGATTTGATCCTCAGCAGCACCACATAAAAATAAATAAATAATGTAAAAGTATTCTGTCCATTTACAACAACAACAAAAAATGTTTTAAAGGGCTGGGGGGTATGGCTCATTGATAAAGAGCCTCTGGGTTCAATCCCTAGTACAAAAATTAACTAAAAAATAAAAAGGACTAGGAATGTAGCTCAGTGGTAAATCACCCCAAAGTACCAAAAAAAAAAAAAAAATAGTCTCTTATCCTCCTGGGATTCAAAATAAACTAGTTTTCCTTAATTCTAAATATGCAGAAAATGAAGCATATCCAAAATCTAAGTAAATAAATTCACTAATTCTGACATTTCTTTCAGAATAGAAAATTGAAATTGTCATTCTCTGCATAAATAAAAATGTAGTTTATATCCAGGGATGGTGGTGCACCCTTGTAAACCTAGCAACTCAGTAGCTGACGCAGGAGGATCACAAATTCCAGACCAGCCTCAGCAACTTAGTGAGACTTTGCCTCAAAATTAAAAACAAAAAGGGCTGGGGATATAGCTCCATGGTAGAGTTTCCCTGGTTCAATCCCCAGTACACAGGGAAAAATGTACTTTATTTACTTTATATAGATTTGCTCCACACAGAGATTCCCCATACTGGTTGTATATCCTATCAGTTGGGAAATTTTTAAATAAATTCCTGGGACCCATCATCTAGAGATTTCAATTTGAAAAGTGTAAAGTGAAGCCAGGAATTATTATATTTGATAAAATATAACTCTTATGTTAGTGTATTAAGGGAATTTCTATATGGTTCAGCAAGTTCTTGGGACTGGTTCTATATTTCAGTGCTTTTCAAACTTGACTTGCTCCATATACAAATCACCTGCAGGTGTTATGCAGCGACAGATTCTGATTCAGTAGGTCTGAGATGGGTCCTGGGACTCAGCAGTTCCAACAAGCTCCCAGGTGATGTCCATCTATACTATTGGCATAGGGATGCTTTCCCCCACCACCACCACTACTCTTTTTTTTTGGCAGTGCTGGGGCTTGAACCCAGGGGCCTCACGCACACTAGGAAAGTACTCTACCACTAAGCTGAGGATAAAACTTTGCGTAGTAAGATCTCATGGGCTATTTGAACATTTCCACAGGTGAATGATAATAGACATTCCCCTAGGCAATTTCTACCACTGGAATATTTTTTCAAGTTTTACCTAAACATCCATTAACACAGCTAGAATATATAATTTATAAAATACTTGATCTTTAGGTACTCTACTACCAAGTGAATGGAAATTATCCGTCCCATGTACAGAGAGAGTACCACTAAAAGGTGAGTGCTACTGATATAATAGAGATGAAATATAAATGTACATAATTTTCAATAATATATTGAAGGATATTCATCATAGCCATGGTTATCTTAGTGAAATATTGGAAAAACACTACATATCTAACAGAGAACTACTTAAATAATGTAAATGAAACTTACAATGAAATCCTAAGCATCTATTAGAAATACTTATGTGTGTTTCTCATGGTGGCACACACTTACAATTTCAGTAACTTGGGAGGGTAAGGCTGGAGAATTGCAAGTTCAAAGCCAGCCTCAGCAATTTAATGAGACCCTATCTCAAGAGGGGAGACAGTGCTAGGGATGAGGCTTGGTGGCAGAGTACTTGCCCAGCATGCATGAACTCTGGATTCAATCCCCAGTACCATAAAAAAAAATAGTTATCTAAAGGTACACATAATAATAATGAAAAGATGTTCAAGGTAAGTAAAAATAAAGATTACAGAACCTTATGAAAAGATATATATATAATGAAAAATGCTTAAAACATACTCAATACTCAGAGTGGGATGTAGCTTAGTGGTAGAACACTTGCCTAATTTATGAGAAATCCTGTGCCTGCATTTGATCCCAAACACTGGGGTGGGGGGTGGAAGCAGCAGCTTAGTAGATGGTTTAGTTCCAGCTACTTGGGAGGTTGAGACAGGAGGATCACATGAGGCCAGGAGATCAAGGTCACCCCTAGGCAACACAGAGAGACCCTGTCTCAAAGAAAAATTTTTAAAAGAGTTTCCTAGAAATCCAAGTATCTGGACAAAGTTCTAACTTATCTGATGGCAACCTACAACAAATTCAGAATAGATAGAATCATGGTGCTTTAATACATACAAAACCACAGAGACCATTAGAATTTGAACAAAAACCTACCTATACTTAGTGATTGATTTTATCTTAATTTTAAGCATCTCAGGTAAACACTGATTATTTCTCATGAGCTGATTGAGGTCACAAAGGTTCTACATTTATCTGAAACTTTTTTTCAGTGTTGGGATTAAATCAAAGGCCTTGTGTTCAAATGTTTTACCACTGAGTTACAATGCCAGCCAGCCCTGTCTGAAATTACTCTCATTATAACCTCCTTTATGATGTTGTCCCCTCCACCCATTTAGTCTTTCACTAGTTAACAGTGCCACATAAACATTTATCATGGAGCCAAATATCTAGGTAATTTAATAATTCTTCCATTGTTTTCATTTCTCCCCTTAAAACACATTTCAGCTGATTAACATAAACAGAATCTGGTGATTATCTCACTGCAGTAAACTCAAAGGCATGGGGAATGTATATCAACAGATGTCCTCAAAGAATCAAGAAAGCCAGGCACAGAGGCACATATCCATAATCTCCAGCAACTTGGGAGGCTGAAACAAAAGGATCCCAATTCCAGGCCAGCCTGGGCAATGTAATGAGAACCTGTCTTAAAATGAAAAATAGAATGGCTTGGGGATATATAGCTCAGTGGTACAGTGGCCCTGGATTCAATCCTTAATACCACAAGAAAAAAAAAATCAGGAAAAACCTTTTCTGCTATGAAAAGCACATGAACTGTCCCATTTTGTTAAGAAAGAGAGAAAGGCTAGATATCACAATGCACACATTTCAATCATACTCAAGTATTTAGTACAATGATCAACCAATAAGGCAAATATTTACTAAAAGTTTTCAAAAGGATATATTAATAAGAATTTCAGCAATTTCCTAAGGATAAAAAATAAAGATAACTTTACCCAAAAAAGCCATCACAGACATTTTCTTTTTTAAACGACAGGAGGGAATGATAGTATATCCCAGTGCCCCAGCATCACAAAAAATTAAATTAAAAACAGATGGGAAGGCTGGGGATGTGGCTCAGTAGTTAAGCACCCCTGAGTTCAATCCCTGGTACAAAAAAAAAAAAAAAAAAAAAACAGGGGAGCTGGGTATGGTGGTGCATGTCTATAATCCAAGTAACTTGGAAAGCTGCAGCAGGAGTATCACAAGTTCAAGTCCAGCATCAGCAACTTAGTGGGGCCCTAAGTAACTTAGCAAGACCCTATCTCAAAATAAAAAAAAAAAATAAAAAGAACTGGGCATGTAGCATAGTGGTTAAGTGTCCATGAGTTCAATTCAAATACCAATTAATTAATTAATTAATTAATTTTAAAAACAGAGGGGAAATAATAGGAGAAAAAGTCTGGCATGAGCTCCTAGAAAGAGCTAGGAAACAAGCATAATTTCTGATCAGTGAAGGACAAACCCTTAATTTTTTAATATCCATGATATATTTCAATTTGGATCACTCAGAAGGTCAGGCCAGATAAAACTGGAATTTATTAAAACCAAGAAGAGTATATACCTACCTGCAGCTCACACCAAGCAACCTCAACCCATGTTTCAGTGTCCAGTCCTTTATATACTGTTTTAAATGCTCCTCTTCCCAGCTCTATGTCAAACTTCAGGAACCTGCCACTAGGAGAAGTTGCAACAGCCTTCATTTCTGCTTCTTCTTCTATTTCCTTTTCATTTTTCTCCTTCAAACAATCTTTTGAGGATTCCAATGTTGCCTTTGAACACTGTTCATATTTAACTTCTTGTCCACCTCTTAGCACATTTGTAGGAAGCTTATCTACTCGAGGAATATTTGTTGCAGCCTTTATTCTCTCATCTTTGGGGGAAGATTCGGCAACTTTGTCTTCTTCTGTCATCTCAACGCTCTTACGGAAAAATCTCTTTCTTTCTATGGTTTCCCCAGTAGCAGAAAAGGTACTGTTTTTTTCCTTTAGTTTAGCTTCTACTGTCAAAGTTGCAGCAACTTGAGGAACCCTGGTTTCGAAGGAAACTCCATCAGGTTTCTCAGAATCTTCCGTGCTGGCTGGCTCCCCTGAATCAGTGGCCATTGTAACTAGGTTGGCACTAAAATCTTTCCTGTTCAATTCTTCAGTCCAGTTACATCTCAGGTATCAGAATTATCAGAATGGACTTCCTTTTATGTGGTCATATATTTCCATAGCAACCTGAAGGGGGAAAAAGGATATTTTTAAATCATCCCACAAAGGAAATCATTAAGGAGAAAACAATCACCTGATTTTAATCCCTTTATTCTTAACAAGTTTATTCTTTTTTTCTGTCGAACCTTAGCAACCAATAGCCTCCAGGGACTCTTCTCTTGTTTACCAGGGTAGCCCACAGTGCCTAGCAGACCACTTTCTGTAGCTCAACCTATCTTCATATTACATGAATATTGGTTAGTTCTTAGCCCTATATGTCTATTCAGCAAATTCAAAACAAGTGTCCAAATCCTGAGTTAAATAACAGTACATAACATCAAATTTACCATTTAACATGATTAAGTGTGTAAGTAAGTAGAATTTATTAATTCACAACATTCAGAATGGTATGCAATCATCATTTCTATCCATTCCCAAAACTTTTTCCTTATTCCCAAGTGAAACTCTGTACCTATTAAACCAAACTTCCCTATCCAACTGGGTACAGTGGTACGCACCTGTAATCCCAGCTACCTGGGAGGCTGAGGCAGGACAACAGCAATTTCCAAATCAACCTGGACAACTCAGTGAGACCCTAACTCAAAATAAAACAAAAAGGACTGAGGATATAGCTCAGAGGTAGAACAAACCAGGTTCAGTCACCAGTACCACAAAAACAAAATTTCTTTTTCTCCAGTGCAGGGATTAAACCAAGGGCCGTGCATTAAACTTTGCAAATTCCTTAACACTGAAATACATCCCCAGCCCAACACTGTAGTTTTCAGTGAGATAAAAAAGATTTTCCCTACATATTATATGGGTCAATGAAAAAAAAATTTATGCAAGTTTCCAAATACACAAATAATCTCTTGTAATTCCAGCTACTCAGGAAGCTAAGGCAGGAGGATTGCAAGTTCGAGGCTAGCCTGGGAAAGCCTCAAAATAAATCTTTTGGAAAAGGGCTGGGAATGTAGCCCAGCAGTAGAGCACTTGCCTATCATTTGCAAGACCCTGGCTTCCATCTCCAGGACCATGAAAACCAGAAAAACAAATACATAAATAATACTTATTGAATTATGAATTTTTTCTGCCTTTTTACATTTTCTAAAACTTCCTCCAATTAATATGTGAAAATACACAGAACATAAAAGGGAAGAAAAGTATTCCAAGTGAATGGTCAAAACACCAAAAAAGAGCTAGAGATGAAGCTTGGTAGTAAAGTGTTTGCCTAGCATGCATGAGGTCCTATGTTCAATCCCCAGCTCCACAAAAATAAATAAATAAATAATACAACACACACACACACACACACACACACACACACAAATAGTCCCCATTCTTACTACAATTATGTAACACAGAGTAGTGCCTTTACAACTATTACTGTCATATAACTTGAAAGTCACAATTTATCATAAAGATTTATTAAGAATTACACCAAACTCGGGGCTGGGGTTGTGGCTCAGCAGCAAAGCGCTCACCTAGCACGTACGAGGCCCTGGGTTCGATCCTCAGCACCACATATAAATAAATGAATAAAGGTATTGTGTCCAACTACAACTAAAAAATAAATATTAAAAAAAAGAATTACATCAAACTTAACCTTAGATGGAGTTTATCTTAAAATATTTAAATAAAAAAATTAAAAAAGGAATTACACCAAACCAAAAGTAACAAGAACAATCAATTTTGAAAAACTAAAGAGAAAAACCTGAACTACAACAAAAAAAACAAAGAGAAATACCCTAAATTATTCTATACATTCAACTCATTCCCTGTCAAAATTCCAGCTGGTTTCTCTGCAGAAAATATCAAGTTAATTATAAAATACATAAAGAGTTTCAAGGGACCCATAATAGCCGAAGCCAATAAGAATCTTGAAAAAGAACAAAGTTGGAGGACTCATACTTCCTGATTTAAAAACAAGCCAGGTGGGTGGCACACACCTGTAATCCCAGCAACTCAGGAGGCTGAAGCAGGAGGATAGCAAGGTCAAAGCCAGCCTTGGCAATTTAGCAAGTCCATAAGAAACTCAGTGGGACCCTGTCACAAAATTTAAAAAATTAAAAAATCTAGAGATGTGGCTCAGTGGTTAAGCGCCCCTGGGTTCAATCCCTGAACTGTCCCCCATCCCTACTACAAAGCTATAATATTAATAAAGCATAGTGGCATAAGGATACATGTAAAGAATTCAGAAATAAACCCATGTGTTTGTAGTCAACTTATTTTTAACAAGGGTGCCAAGTAAACTCAATGGGGAGAGGCAATAACAATTGGTGCTGAGAAAACTGGATATCCATATGAAAAATACAAAGTTGGACTCTCTAGCAAGGTTTCCTAGAAAAGATCCCTGAGCTGAATCTCAAAGGAAGAAAATTAACTGATCCTGGCAAAGGGAAGATCAAAAACAAAAACATGAAACAGCATGGAATAAGTACATGACTGGTACCATGAGCAGTTACTGGCATATTAGAAGCAGGCAGCTGAGGACAGAGAGGCAGATAGTCACTAAGGACATTTTTATCCAAATGATGTAAAATAAGGAGACCAATTAAAAAGCTACTGCAATTAAAAATTATGAGGCTTGAATGAAAATAGTGGCAGGAGGGATACATTCAAGATACATTAAGGAAGTACTAAATGCAAGATTTACTACTTGGATGAATATGGCTGCAAGGTAAAATGAAGTCTTATGAAAACTCCCAGAAATTTTATCAACCAGATGGCGGCACTACTAGGATATATCTATGTTAATACCAGAATTGAACTAAAGACTCATAAAATACTCCAGAATGTTATGTTGTCAAATCAATATACTTCCAATGTCACTTACTGCCTGCAAGAAAAAAATATTGCCTAGAAAAGCCTTACTTGGGTGATTTTTTTCTTTAACATTTGTTTTAATTTTTTTCTTGTGGTAATGTGTATTGAACACATGGGCACTCTACCACTGGGATACATCCACACCCCCCCCTTTTTTTTTTTGCTTTTATTAAGTCAGAGTCTCAATAAATTGCCTATGCTGTCCTCAAACTTAGAACCTCTTATCTCAGCCTCCAGAGTAACTGAGATTACAGGTGTGTGCCACTGTGAAATAATTTTTGACTAGGAAAAAAACCTGCAAGAGTATACAAAGAATCCAGTATACCTTTCACCCAAATTCCCTAAATGTTAACATTTTAGGTAAGATATTTTTAAGTAAGAATAATGATAGTTATTCACTTCACTTAACTAAAGGTCAATTATCCAGAAACCTCAAGAGCAGAAATCCAAAAGTGAGACAAAAAGATTTTTTAATGGCCAAAAATAGGTAAAGCCAGAGAATTTTTGGAAAAGTCTTCAAACTTAATTTACTGCAGAGCACTTTTTTAAAAATGAAATATCTCCCCACCACCACCCCCGCTTTGGTAGTGCTGGGGATCAAACTCAGGGCCTTGTGATTGCTAGGTAAGTGCTCTACTGTTGAGCTACAAAACCAGTCCTAAAAATGAAGTCTTAACCAGGTGCACTGGCATATACCTGTAGTCCCAGCTACTCAAGAGGAAGGCTGTAGTGGAAGGCTCACTGAAGCTAAGAAGTTTGAGTCCAGCCTAGTCAAGAGACAAAGAGTAAGAAAGAAATCTTACTCAGAACCCTAATGCTAGGAGGGCACAGTGATGCATGCCTATAATCCTAGCAACTTGGAGGATACAAAGTTTGATTCCAGCCTCAGCAACTTAGCAAAACCCTAAGCAACTTAGTGAGACACTGTCCCAAAATAAAAAAAATAAAAGGGGCTGGGGATGTAGCTCAGTGGTAAAGTGCCCCTGGGTTCAAAATCAAAACCTAATACTAAAAAGAGTGGCAAGTAATGGTGCTCTGGCATGACAATTTTGATATGTGGTTTCCCAAGCTACATAATAAGCAGCAGCAAATAAGAGGGATGGGGAAAGCAGTGTTTCCTTAATCTTTTAAAACCCAGTACCCTAGGTTAGAGCTAGGAGTATACCTCAGTAGTATAGCACAGGCTGGAGGCCCTCAATATGATTCCCCAGTACAGAAAGCAAGCAAAAAACTAACACTCTGTGACAAAAACATTACTAGAGACAAAGAGGGATATTTCATAAAGAAAAAATGGTTGAGGACTCAAGAGGCTGATGCAAGAGTACCTCAAAGTATCTGAAATTCAAGGCTGGCCTGGGAAACTTAGCAAGACACTGTCTCAATTTTTTAAAAAAAAAGTAATAAATAAAAGTTTTTAAAAAAAGGGCTGGGGATGTAGTTCACTGGTATAGCACCATGTTCAGTACCACAAAAATAAATTATAGAGCTGGGGTTACAACATGGTAGAGCACTTGCCTAACATGTGTGAAGCACTGGGTTTGATCCTCAGCATCACATAAAAATAAATAAAATAAGGTATTGTTTCCATCTCCAACTAAAAAAAAAATTAGTTAATAAACAAAATTATGCCACTGACTTTTTTTAGATATGATCTTACTGTGTTGCCCAGTATGGCCTCTAACTCCTCCTGCCTCAGTATTCCAAGTAGTTGGGGACTCCAGCATGTGCTATCATGTCCAGATTTGTATTGTTGAATTTTATGTTGTGTAAATCATATCTCCATAAAATATGAGGTACCTCTTTAAGAATCTTAAAAGATATTGACTTGGATTAAAATTAAAGCTATCATAATATCAAATATGTCCTTTTAAAACTGTACTGCCCTATCAACCCTCAGTTTTCCACTCTCATCTTTAGCCTGACCTGCCCTCAGCATCGTGGTGCTTTTTCTCTATTTGTATAAAATATCCCTTTAGTAATAAAAAAATCCTTGACTTAGAGAGAGAAGTTCTGACAATAATAAAATGTAATAACTACTGCAAGTTCAGTGGTGGAGCACCGGCCTAGCATGAGTGAGGCCTTGGGTC